CCCCAAAACCCCAAAACCCCAAAACCCCAAAACCCCTTTTAAATATTTATCTATTGAATTTACATATAAGCTTTATTGGCAAATTCTTGTAGCCAAGCAGATCATCTTTTGATGGGATACTCTCATTCTCCAATGCCTACAAGCGGAGCGTCAAAATTGAGGAAGGCATGTGGGAACATCTGGTATTCATGCATCTTCACATCAACCTTTCTCTTGAGCATTCTGAGGACGTATTTATAAGACTCATCTCTAAGAGGATCATTTCCTGCTATCATGAGTCTTACTGCTGGATATTTATCAATGATATAATCAGGAGTAACAGCTGGAGATAGAAATGGATCATGCTCTGGATCTGCGTCTTCTACGTATGACTTGATACAAAGAAGAAGAAATCCTGCAGGGAGAATAAAATCATCAACTGCTAATAGGAGAGATGGAGAAAACATAGTTGTGCCCATGACCATTGCTGGATATTGAGGCATTATCATGTCCGGGACTCTAAAACCGCTCGCGATAGCAAGGTTTGTCAGAGTATAAGTAAGATTTCCACCTGCCGAATCTCCTGTAACAAAAACTTTAGCTGGAGAGATTCCTAATTTAGATTTTCAATAAGTGACAACCCAATAATATACCTGCCATACATCATTTAGAGCCGCAGGATAAGGATCCTCTGGAGCTAATCGGTAATCAATCGAGAATATTGGTATTCCAGTATCAACAGTCCATTGTCTTGTATAAGCTTGATGGGATTGTGAGGACATTGAGACGAACCCACCTCCATGAATATGAATAACTATAGCCGGTATTTCAATAATTTGAAGCTTATCTCTGGTACTTTTTCTTGGAATTGTGTTTCTTCTTCTAAAATTAACCAATGATAATACCTGGTGTTAGACTTCCAGAGCCCTCAACAACCACAACTGACTGTTTTAACCTTCTTTTTCGTGTCTTTTACAATATGATTAAATGTCCCAGATGCCGTCCCTCTTTCATTAGTTTCATCAGTAGTAAGAACATATTTTTCATCCCAATTAACTGGGAACTTGGTATTGGAGAAGATCCTCACTTTAACATATTTTGATGAATCATATTTTTCCCCACTAAATCTTTCAAAATTGGTATCAAGGTCTGAAGTGGCGACTGGAAAGTTCTTCTCCTTAGCTCTGCCTCCCTTCTCATAGTTCTTCATCATTTTTGATAAGAACGGGAGGCTCAAAGGTTCTAACAACATTGGAACATAGATCACCTTGTGAAGTTTCACTTGAGGAAGGATATACTTCATTGCATCCTGCAAAAAAAGTGTATCTTGAAGGTTATACACCTTCAAAGCAGCATCTACATCAGGGTTACTCATAAAGAGATTGAATTGCTGGTTTCTCTTCTTTTTAAATAAAGCATAATAAGCAGCCCATTTAGCACTCTTGATAAGATTGAATATGGGATTTCCCTTACTGTAGTCTTCTCTACCAATGACTGCACTGAGGTAGGCCATGAACTCTCAGATTCTATGGTATTGACTCATGAAATTCTTAAGTTTTGATGGCTTTTCATAGTCATAAGCACTAAAAAGTAAGTCCCAGTCCTCATCATCAAGGTCTTTGTAATAAATACAATCTGAGTCCTCAGTCAGGGCCCCAAAGAGGATATCCCCTACAAGGGGCATTTTCGAAGCATAAGAGACGAACTCTCTTAAATATTCATTCTTTTTGGTATCTACAGCTTTATCAAGGGAATCTGTGATCTTTTTCAGCATTTTGCAAAAATTCTTATATCACATTGTAACTGCTGGGATACAGACCTCTTTCTCGCCTTTGCTGATGCTTTTGAATAACTTCTCGTCTCTTTTCCTCTTCTGCTTAGTGATATTGTCTCAGTCACGGACCAAATCATCGACTCTGGAGAAGATGGCTTCATCTACTTCCTTCATAGATAGAGGATCAGCTTCATCTTCAGAGTCAACTTCTATTTTCTCTTCTTCATCAGGATCGTCTTCGTTCTTGTTCTCTTCAAGAATCTTCTTAATTTCTGAGTCGCTGAGTTTGAAGGAGGTGGAAGAGAGCTCATTGAATAGATGTACTGATTTTATATCTTCTTCCTTGATCTCCCCAAGCTCTTCTTGGAGTTGAGAGATGCTTTCTTTGACTCTTTCTGACAGATCCTCAAATTCTGTGATGCTAGATAGGGGGTGAGAGTGGGAGCTTACTCTGAGAGATTCCCTTTAGATTTCAAGTTTTGTAAGATAACCATTGTGATTTTGTCTATCTCACCACTCATTTGGATAAACACCTTTCATTTGTAACGGAAGTTAGGCAGATGTGAGGTGTAGTCCAGGACTTCATCCATCTGCTTACTCAGGATAACCAAATTTTCATAAATCTCTTTTATGGAATCTTCGAGGTCTTCTTGTTTATAAAGATGGATTTTATCATTTGGTTGTAGCATTTTCTCAGTAAGCTCAAATTCTTGGTCTAAAATAAAAATTGATTATTAAAGAATCGTGGTAGGAGATGAAATCAGCTTAAATTACCAAGGAAGTGCTCTCTGCATTCTTCGACTGATTTCTGTTCTCTATCGGAATAGGGGTTCTTTTTCTTGCCTCCAAAGAGACCACCAAGGAATCCTGATTTCTTCTTCTCCTCCATTTGTTAAAAATTATTTTTAAGTTAAAATAAATTCAAAAATATTTATCTGAAGAGGGGTTTTGGGGTTTTGGGGTTTTGGGGTTTTGGGG